CAAGTGATAGTTTGCAAATATTAGAAACAGTTTTAGAAAGATTATCAAATAAAGCAAATAAAACAAGTTTTATAAAAAATATGCTTTACTGAGCGCTAACTTTTAATTCAGGTGCTCTGAAGCCTCTTATATTTGTAAAAATCAAAGAAAAGTGATTGGCACTTTTTAACTATAGCAACTTTATTGTTATAAGAATTTAAAAAAGTAAGTGTTTTCCAAGCTTTRTTTTTGTCAACTTTAGTGGGTGTATGGCTTGTTTCAGATTTGTAACATTACTCGTTATACCAAAAGCAAAGCAAATATACTAGATGAGATGTTTGTTGCTTTGTATTCGTCTAACAATTTTACGTAAAAAATAAATTTATGTGCAGTACAGAGTGAAAAAATATAAAGACATAAGGAGATTTAAGAGTTTAATACCAGACATATTGTTTAGAGACAATTTTATAAACCCAATATAATTTCCACATAAACAAAGATAGAGTTAGATGGAGCTTAAAGTTGAGAAGAAATAGTTCCTCTTTCTCTTTTAATTAAAGCTCTCTTTTTTTTAGTTAAATCAAAACGTAAATTTAGATTACTGAACAAATTCTTTTATCGAATATAAAGTATTCTTACACTATGTTTGCTCTTTGAAGAGATATATCCTTTATAATGTGCGCATATGGTCCAAAACTTAACAGTAATATTTGTCAACTCTTATTGGGATATATCAGTAAGATCCATACTTTCTGAGTGCCAAGAAATGTGTTCTTGGATGCAATGCATATTTAGCTGGTCGAATTTTTTTCGGTTGTATAATGTCAAAAACTCTTATTCACTCCAAGGAAGGAAAAAAGTTGCTTATGTGTTACCGAAGTGAGAGTTATGGCGATTGTCCCCAGTATTTTTCTGTGTCTTTTCTAACATTTGAAGCATCAAAACTTTTGATTGGAACATCGATTGTTAGAAATTTCGGTTTTACAATTTTCGATGTCATTCGAAAGTGAAGAATGGATAGTTGTCAACTCAAATGCTCTTACCTATGGTATTAGTAGCGA